CTGGGGGACTCTGAGAGCCCATGGGTTAAAAATTGTAATTAAATACTCCAGATTGCAATAATCACATGTAATTTTATTAGGTGGTCCCCTCAATTCAATTTCTGCTCTGCAAGAGGGATTCTCACTCACTCTATGCATATGCAATTATGTATGAGAATTAGTTAAAGTATCTTCCACAGAGATTTGATCCCTCACATTTCCCCCAAAAATGAAAATGCAAGAACATTCAACAGAGCATCTCTGCATATCCTGTTAGCCACTAGTGTGAATGGAATTTATTCAAAAATATTAAAAAACTTTCGATTTCAGCCCAGCATGAAGCAAAGTTCTGTGTGCCATTAGCACTAGCCAGAGTCACTCTCCCACTCAGGGAAACAAGTGATACCTCTGCATCCCTTTGCACCAACTTCCAAGTCTGGGGAGTGGACCTGCTGATGGGTTAAGTTCTTATAGCAATTTAATTTTTATTCTTGTCTTTGCAAGTCTCCTCTCTCTTAGAAACCCTGGTAGCCAAATATGGTACAGAGGCTATTATAAATTTGAAATGCAAGATATTATTAAAGTATCCTTTTAAGTTATTTTCAGAGGCTGATGGTTGATACCTAAGTATATTTGTTAGGATCTTTATAAAGTTTTGGTACTGAAAAGATTAATGAAATTACTCCTTAGTTATTTTAGTTCTCCTTCCCCCACAACACCCTTCATCTGCTTCCACACTTCATACACATTCACTGTCCTGTTTAAATAATGGTCTTTTACCTGTGGAATCCATTAGTATTGAGGTTGTAGAAGCCCACACTAAAGCTTCTGTTTGTGTGAAGCTGATATGGATGAGCTTTATTGTTTGTTTTGGTTTTTTTTTACTTTAGAAAGAAAAAAACATCCACAAGAATCCACTTCCACAAGAAAATTACTTTGCTTTTGTTTTCTTTGTTAAAAATTTGGTTGAAAATCTCCCTTTCTGCAAAGAAAAAATCACCTATTTTATACAAAACAGAATTTATTTTCTTTGTCCTGTTTGCTTGTTGAGACAGTTCAGTCTGCTCATTGCCAATGGATTTCCAGTGTGAACTATCATGATTTAAACTCTAATGAGATCTCATTTTGATAAGGCAGAAGTGGAATGGTGAATTTGATGTCATCAAAACAAGCCACCTGGGTGAGGTCTGAACTTACATAAATGTCTTGTAAATTAAAAATTTTATTGGTCTTTTTGTGTATAACCCACCACTAATACAACTCAATGTGTATATCTGGTTAATCCTCGGAAATTTTGGTGTGGAAGAGGTAAATGAACAGATCTTTTCAAAGCACTGAATTTCAAAAATTTTCTTGGGCCCTTTTCAAACTGTTTAAAGGAAGTGGATATTAGGCTGGAATTTTTCCAGGACCAAGAGAAATTGTAAACTGGTCTGGAAATAGGTCCATCATAAATGTTACATATTAGTTAAAAAACCAGCATTTTTTAAAAAAAAATTATTAAGCACCCTACACTTTTTGTACCCCTAGAAGTATTGTTGCCAGTGCAAACCAGAATTTAAAAAAACTTATCCTGAAAATCTTAATGCTATAGGCTGCAAAATGACTGGGTTAATTTAGAAACAATTATATAAATCTATAGAAACTTCTTTTCCCTTGGGAAAAATACAATCTGTTTGGAGTAGCCAAATTGTCTATCTCTATAAAGTGAGGTCTAATTATGTGCGTGGGTGAAGCTATAATAACATATTTTTTGAAATATGTGATTGTTTTTGTTCATACAACTCTTGTTACAATGAAATAGTCAGATAAACAGTGAAAAATACTGTGACAGGAAATTTTCTACCCATAGATAACATTTGGTTTTGGACACAAACTTTCCAAGGCTGTATCCTGTTGTATTGCTGCATATGTTTTTCATAACACCACATATATATTAACTCTCACAAACCAAAACCTCTTGAATAAATATCCTATATAACATTTTTATCCCTGCTGTTAAGTAAGGGCCAATCTTTCAGACCAGAATCTCTCTAAACTCTCTAACCTTTGGATCTCCTGTAGTGCTTAACAACAATAATTAGTAGTCATATCAACAAAAAATAATTGCTTTTAGGAGCATTTTCCACTGTGGTCACACATTTCAGGCATTCCTCTGAAAGATTTACCTACAATGTTTGTTTTTCCAGATGAGATTGCATGACATTATATCTTTTTAATGAAGATATCATTACTGATTATCAATCAGGTGTAAGAATTTCCCTGGCATGAATAAGACTGGGCTTATTCCTGTGTGTGAGTATTTGCAGAGTGAGAGGCATAACTGTTTTATCTTGCTTTGAAATCCTAGCTGATGCAGATATGACACCTACAGTCTTAATCAGTACCCATTGCTGGAAATGAAAATTCAATAATTATGAAAAATTAAAATATTAAAATTAAATTAAATATTACCTAGTTTAAAAATAACATTATCTTCTCTAAACCTCATTTAAAAATCTAGCTCCTAGTTCTACAGCAAATGTATAATTTTTTTCATTTATATTTGTTATCCAGACTCCCTACCAAGAAAAAGAAGGTGCAATGAGTTGCCATTGTTTCAGGACAGTATAAAAGTGGGCTAAATCTATTGAATATGCTTCCTAAAATTCCTGATTTGCTTTTCTAGGAAGTTCTAATGTTTAACATCTCATTGTTTATTTATAATGAAAGGATATTTTTTACTCCTTTATAGGAGTATTTTTTGATAGATTTAATGCTGAGTCCTTCATAATTTAGTATTCTATAACCCTGCTGGTGAACCACTTGTGGATCCTTCATCTTAATCACAATATACTATCAAGAACACTATAATGGAGCCAACAGATGTACTGAAAAGAGTAAGTCTTATGACAACCAGTACACATAAAGAAAACATCTTTTTGAAGGCAGCACATTCTTCTTGTAGGAGCATATTCTTCTCCAAGAGTACTTGATTTTTAGCAGGTAACATGGAGCCTGGTTAATTGTCCATATAAGATATACCAATTTCTTGGACAGAATGAGTGAACTTTCATCATAATGCATTCATACAGTAAATGAGATAGAAAATTAACTGGGACACAATTATATTGTCCCTTCTGCTGTTTTCTCAATTGTTCCCCTAACGTTTCTACACTGACAATGCCAACCTTGTCAGCCTGTGCTTTTAATGTTAAACCTTGACCTAGAACAAGAATGAGGACATTTCAAATGTCTACAGGATTTGTTCTTATTTTTCTAAAAGTGTGTGTTCCTCCAATCCACATTTTCTCTTAGTCAAACAAAACAGACGTCACATGGTAGGAATAGCTGAGCCTGAATTTCAGAAATTCAGAAAGATCTTAAGATATTTTCTATTAGATTTACTATTCTGGTCCTCTTACAAGATGATTTTCTAGTTCAACAAGGCAGGAAGATGACTTCTTGAATGTCTTGACAATTTTATGTCCTTTGTATTCAGGATGTTTTTTTGGTGCCGTGGCTGTGTTCCCTCACACAAAGAGCACCAGGAGTTGGGTACTGAGTGTTCTCATACAACAAAGAGCAAGTAGTAACATGTAAAATGGGTACTTGAAGGTGTCCTAAGTTCACCTTAGCCTCACCCAGAATTTCCTCTGTGGTGGATGGCACCCCATAACCAGCATGAACACTGCTCCTTCTCTGCTCCTCTTGGCTTTGCCTGTACCATAATTAAAATCCAAATTACAATGCACCCTCTCCAGATGTTCTTTCTTTCTTGTGTGTAGCAGGCCAGATCATATTAACATCATGACCAAAGGAACTGTTCTACAATTGCAATTGTTTAAAGCTGTCATATACTTCCCTAATGAGTTATGAAATTATTTTGATCTTGTTTATACAGGCAAAACCCAAATTGTGTCTGCTAGTATAACTAAACCCTGGCCAAATTAAAATTATTTGTAAATGTGGCAGATGGCAGAGTTTAGCAAAGGAGGTCATTGTCTCTGGTAAAGCAATGGGAAAAGCCATTTAAGAGTAAGTGGAAAACTTTGAGAAAGCAAGTTGTTTTATTCCTGAAAAAAATATTGAGAAAGATTTTGGACTGTAAGGATAGATTGGGTAGAGCATGTTGTTAATAATGCCAAGGTTGTGGGTTCAATCCCCATATGAGCCATTCACCTGAAGAGTTGAACCTGATCCTTGTGGATCTCTTTCAATTCAGAATATTCCATGTTCTGATTTATAGGTTAAGATATATCTTTTTCACCCAAAGATTTTGAAAGAAATTAATTATCTCGTTAGTAGATAGATTTATAGACTATAATTTTATTGAAAATATATCAAGTTTAAATGCAACTTATTCTAGACACATACGTTTTGCAATTATTCTACTTCATAAGTAAGCAATGATCTTTACCTGAACCAGTATTTAAGTCAGCAAATAGGACAAGGAGCAACTGCACACCAGTCCTGTGAGACATGAGTTTCTAATTTGTTTTGCCTCTAATCAGAGCAAAACTTTAAAATCTTTAAAAATCTTGGCTATAACATTTTTGCATTTCTACTGGCAACCACAGCTATTTTGTTGAGATATTTTAGTTTAGAAGAAATATTTTACCATTCATAAAATGTCTTCCTTTTACTTAATGAACAATAACTGCTTTATTTTTTTAAACTATTATGTTCACCACTGTCTTCCCACAGCAGCAAGATGCTTTGGAGAACCTTGTACTTGGAAATCTTAATTTTTCATTCTTTGAAATCTGAGTAACCATCAATGAGCCACATGAAGTCCACAGCCTGTTGTGAGAAATAGGTTATTCCTGGGAGCCCAAGATGCAGGATTGAAGGAGTACCTAGATTAGACCTCATATAAATCAGTATGCTAATAGGAAAATGAAGGATAATGATTTATTGCACTAAAACGAAATAAAATATTTGGCTTATTAAAAAAACATCCTGATAGGTTAAACAATTTATTAAAAACATTTTAATCAGGGAAATCTTACTGGAAATGTTTTGATTTTACTAGACAGGAGTTGAATTACTGAGGTTTCAAGAGGAAATTATCCTGTTTTATGGAAACCTGTAGATTGTTCCCACCAAGAATTCCCCTTTCTTTGTAGCACCAAAGAATATGAACTTTAATTCTCCTAGCTTCAGGCTTTGAACCACATTTCCTCTCCCTCAGATTTTAACTACACCTTTGGAATAGTTTGCGCTCAGTTAAGCAAATGCTGTGCACACTAGGGACAGGTTGTGTTTTGTGCTGAGAAGCATCTGGAGAAAGAGATAAACCTGTGTTGCAACACAGGATTTTCCTGAGGGAACAGACTCCACTGCTGAAAAAACCTTTCCTCATTCTTAAGACATCGCTCTCCAGTCCTCACTTTCATTGCATTTGGTGCACCATGGATTTGGTCTCTTTGTATTTGATATGGGGAGGAGACTTTTTTACAAAGGAAAAATAGCATCAAGAACCATCAGGCATAATCATGTCAGTGTAATTCTTACACAGAAACAAGCTTAGTGATTCACTGTGTTTCATGCCAAATGTTTTGAATCAATGTGAAGCAATCGAGCAAAGTAATCCTGCCCTAGAACATTCCTCCTGCCATCAGTGCTCCCCAAAATTGTTTTTTTTTTTGAAAACTCAAAATTGTAGAGCCAGTGCAAGCCACAGACACTCATGTTCCAGGCTGTGTGGGGGTTTCAGCAGTCATGATCCCTGCTCTGGGTACATTTTGGACAACTCTTTCAAGTGCCTGTTTATTGTCTGTGCATCTTGTACTCATTGTTTACTGGGTAGTTATGGGACCAGAGCAGAAATGAAGACACTTCTAGCATTGCACACTGCTAACAGAATCAGAGTGAGTGAAATATATACCTCTGTGTTATTGGACCTGGCTGAGTCTTTTTGCACAAGGATTCTGATCAAAGGGCTTCTGCTGGCATCATCCCTTGACTCAATTCCAATATCAGCCTCAGAGAAAGTGCATGACCCTTGCTGTCATATTTTTGAAATCAACAGGATGGTCTCCTTCTCTGAGCTCTCTATGGCTGCTGTTCCCTCACCTGCCATGTTCTTCCTTTGGTTAGGCTGGAGCTCCTGCCTAAAAAGTGCATTTCTTCCCCAGAGATCCACTATTTCCCTGTCCCTCCCAGCTCTGAGTCACAGCTCTCCAGGAAGCAAGCAGAAACCAGTCATATGACCAGACAGGCACACAGGCATTTATCACCTGCAGAGATGCACATTTTTTAACTTTGGAAGTTAAGCACTGTTATCATCACATCCTGCACCTCCAGCACAAGGAAATACGGTAGTTTCAGCATTGCATCAGCGTAATGCACATCTAAATTATCTTTAGGGAAAATGATTTCTCTCCCCCTCATCACAGAGAATGGGGGGGAAGTAGTGCCTCTTCCTTTTGTTATTGCCATGAGTCTTTTAAATTCAGTTAAGATCAAGCACAGGATTATAAGAGCAGGCTGGGGCTGGGCCACTGTTTTCATTTCACTCAGCTTCTGAGACCCTGTAGGAATATAAAAAGAGTCCAGTGAGTTGGCAGGACAGAGCAAGATAGGGCACATCAGCACCCCTGATAGCATGTGGCAGTACCTGAGATGATGTTGTGGTAGTGGCATCGGGAAAACATAATGTTGACAGGGCCTGTGGTAGCAAAAGATGTGAAAATCAGGAATAATCCAGCCCTTGACATCTGGGAACAGGAGATGCAGCTTCCTTTCAATCATGATACACAATTGCAAAATCAATAGCTGAGGTTAGCAGGGACCTCTGGGGGTATTCTGGTCTAACCCTTCTTCTCAAGCAGGGTGACCTTGAGTTGTTTGACCGTGCTATTGGGTTTAAATACCTCCAAGGACAGAGACTGCAATCTCTGTGGGCAACCTGCACCAGTGTTTTAGTACCCTCACTATGAAACCTGTTTTTCTTATTTTAAACATGATCTCCTATTTTTTTAGTTTGTGACCATAGCTTTTTCTCCTGTCAATGGACATCAGTGAGAAGAATATTGCTCCCTTGTCTTCATTCCCTCCCATCAACTGTTTATCCACACAGAAAAGATTCCACTGGAGCCTTCTCCTCTTCAGGCTGAACAGCTGAACAGATCTCTCAACTTCCCTTTGTGTGATTGATGCCCCAAGTTGTACAGAAGACCAGCTTGGATGAGCAGGGATCTTCTAGAACTCAAACATGAAAGAAAGGTACATAGACATTGGATGAAAGAACAGGTGACTCAGGGAGACTACAGGACAAAGGTCAGTTAGAGATAAAGACAAGCATAGCAAGGGACACTTCCTAAAATACATCAACAGCAAAAGAAGGACAATGATAACATTTCTCACACCTTGATGAGGTCAATCACCTCAAAAATAGGGATGTAGACAAATGGGGACATTTATTATCTGCTCCACCTCTGCCTTTAGCACCAATGATGGGCCCTGATACACCGTGAACCTTGTATTGGAAGATCATGGCTGGGGGAATTGTATACTCACAGCTGACTCTGATCTTGTTCATCCTACTGAGAAGGATGTCCAAGCTGATAAAAGGTATCCAGATCAAGGCTTACAAGGAGCAGCTGAGGTCACTTGCCTTCTTCATCTTGGAGGAGAGAAGGCCGAAGGGTTCTCTTGTCACAGTCTAACCTGAAGGCTCAAGGGTGCCAGTGGAGAGTGAGGTGCTGTTCTCTCTCTGGTGACCTATGGTAAGGCATAAGGATATAGTATAAAGCTGCATCAGAGGAACTTCATATAGGACACTGGGAAAAGGTTCTTAGGTGAGAAGGTCACTAGAAGAGGCTCACCAGGGAAGTGGTCATGGCACCAAACCTGCCAGAGTTCAAGGAGTGATGTTTCCAGTCATCTGGTTAAGGTTGAAGTAGTCCTGCAAGGAGCAGGGAGTTGGACTTGATCATTTTTATGAGTCCCTTCTGATTTGATATATTCTATGATTCTCATTCTATTATTCATCTTTCTGATCTCCAATATATCTATATCTCTTCTTTTGTGAGTGGTCAAGCTCTGCCCATGGCACCCAGATATCCCTCACCAGGGCAGGGCAGAGGGGCAGGATCATCTCCCTCCACCTGCTGGCAATGCTCTGCTTAATGCTACCCTGGAGAACAGGCCCTGAGCCGTGCTTCTGAGCTCTGCTGGGCTTCATGGGCAGAAAAAATAAAGAGTATCTTTAAATGAGAAGGTCACTGTATTTTGGGCATTTTGTGTCTGCTGCCCACTCTTATGTTTCCAATTGTCCTTGACCTATAGCAGAGTGGCAAAATTTGCATCACTTGGATCTCAAGCCTTTGTGCAAATACATCACTGCAAACCTGTCTTCTTAAAGGGGTCTTGTGTCGCCCTGTAAATTAAACCTTCTGATAATGTTTTCATAGTTTTAGTTACTTTCCCATGAAAATCCTATAAACATAAGTTGTTTATCACATTCCTTCTAAGAAATGTCTTTTGAAAGATGTTTCTCATGACCAGTGTGCTTGGGAAGGTGGTAACTTAATTATCCAATCCCTGGTCATTGTCGAGAATCTATAAATACTGGAGTCAGAGAACAAAAGACGTTTTTTTTGTTCTGACAAACAAGTGTTTGTGTGAACCATTTCATGTCCTTTAGCGACAGTCTTGTAGATTGGTGCAGCACTTTGGGGGTGGATTTGCCACATGTCAGTTACAATTCACTTACACTCTGTGGAGATGCTCTTAGTGTACAGAAAGTGTGAGGTAACTCTTCTTCCAGACTGTGGCTTATAGATGCCCACCTTACCCTTCAGCCCAGTAACTTCTGGAGATGAGCCCTGGAGTGAAAATGCACGTGAACAGTGTGGAAGTTCAGCTGGTAGCAGGTACCCCACAGTAAGTGTAAACTGTGAAGCAGAACCTGCCTACAATGAGACATCTTGCTAAAAAGCAGCTTGTTTTGCCCAGAAGGTCTGGCAGTCTGATATTCAGGGTGTCAGACACAATATTCACATCATAGCCAGCAAAAAGATCCACACAGAGCCTTTCGGTGTTGATAATTAACAACCCCTCTAGTAATTAAGCTCTGCACCTTTTGAAAACAGTTTCAAGTCTTCTGGGAACCTTTAATTCTCACATGCATCACCGAAGCACAGGTTCAGTATTCCCACAGAAAGCAGCAATCCCTCTGATTTACGGACTTCCCCACCCTTGGAACTGAGACACTGACATGTTCTGCTCCAGGCACTGGAAAGCTCAGCACAGTTCTCTCTTTCTTTATCTTTTTTTTTTTTTTTCTTTCTTCCCTAAAGAAAGTGTTTCCTGTCAAATTAACGCTACCAATTACAAGTGGATCTAATCCCTAGTGATTACCTACCTACCCTAATTGACTGTCTTGTTCCCAACCAAGGCAGGATGTTTGAACAGACAAACAAAAAAATAGATACTGATTTGCTGAGACAGAGAGAAGACACTTACGTCCAGAAAATATAAGCCTTCAGAAAATATGAGCCAGCATTCTCTCTCCCAATTACTGCTCTTCCTCTTTTGAGCAATTAAAAATGTCTTGGAAAGTTTATGAGTTCCAAAAAACTTAGTCACATACAAAGTCTACTGGTCCAGCTGCTCCCTGTAGAGCTGGGATTAGACTCAGACTTTTCTGAAATGCATTGGGAATTAGAACATTTTTTTAAAAATTCTACTTCATACCAAAGTAATGTGCTTCCCTTACTGTCTAATTCCTAATTTCAAGGTATTAGGTTCTAATTTTATGTTTAATGGGGACATAGGGTTTAACATGCCAAAATTATGTGTTCTCTCTGATATCATCCCATATTGGTTCCAGAGGTGCTTTTTCAAGGAAGAAACCAGGTAAATACTATTTTGGATCACTAATACCTAAGTTACTTGTATTCATTTTGTGTACTATTTAAAGCAAATATGGCAAATCAGGGAGTACAAGATATGTAAACTAACAGGGAATTTCTGCCTGTTTGGGGCTTTATTTATTGGTATGAAGTTATCAGAAATAAATTAAGAAATAATCTTCTAAGGTTTCAACAATGTCCTTCAAAATATTAGAGGCACATAGAAAACTCTGTGTCCTCACACAGCACTCTGTGTATAAAAAGAGTGTAACTCTGCTCAGTTTTAACAGTACAATACCTGGGAACTTCGCCACCTCCAACATCACTGAGCACCATCCTTCCTCCTTCTAAAAAAACTCATAAACACCATGGTTCAGATTCAAACCTGAAGTCAGCTGATAGTTTTTTACCGACTTGAAGAAAAGCGTCCTGATCTACACTGTAGAAGGATTTTCCTTACACTGCAAAAGGAGAGAATTGTAATAGGCTCCCAAAAAGATTTTTGGAAAGCCCTGTGATCCTGAGCAAATCCCTTCACCAGCCCCACATGTGCCAGCCATCAAATCCAAGGAGACATTTGGGTGCTGTCAATATACTACAGCAGCCATGAGGAGTGACAGGCACCTTGACATACTGGTTTTGTTAGCATAGGAGAGTTACATGAGAGCCTGATGGCAGAAGACAGCTACTCTGACTATTGGTTGCAAAGCTATTTATCAACCTTGTTTAAGTGGAAATGTAAATTAGAGGGGAAAAGAATTAAGTGTGCAAATTATTATTAAACTTGTTGTCTTATGTGGAAATGCAAAATAGGAAAAACAAGGCTAAAAATTTTTAGGGTGGTACTAAAGTTCCTAAATCATTAAAATACCTCCCAGGATATGTTTTTCCATGCCTAATTCAATGAGCACTTACAAAAGGAAAGGGAAGTGGTGTAGAGGAAATAGTAAGGAACCAGGAAACACTCTACATGTGTTCTTAATACAGTGGTGCATTTTAGTAGCCTGTGACCTTGCTCATAATCATTTGTGCCCCCACCTACATTTAGCAGCACCAAGCAAAGGGGTACTTTTTAAGTCAATCAGATCATTAAATGAATGTGCAGATGCAGACTTATTTGCAAGAAACACACACCCATATGTTATGTCAATGTTCCACAAGACACTGTTCCTTAAAGGAAAATATACCATTATTTCACCTAAATTCTGATAAAACCAGAATGAAAAACAGCCCCAGCCAGAATAAAATGGAATCCAGTCCTATCCAACTTATTGTAATATTATCTTAAATGCACTTTATCCCTTTTTTACAATGAAACTTTTGAGTCATTTACATTCACTGTCTGGTGGAAAAGCAGTGTACTCAGATATGGCGTCTTGCAGCCGCCTCAAAAGCCAATACCACCCCCTAAATATTTTAATAAAAATAATTTTTAATCCTGATTGATCATTATTTTTCCTAATACTTTTTTTTTTTTTAATAAAGTACATTTGTTAAAGCACAAAATTGGTCAGGATTACAAATAACTTGCCCTGACAGCTGGAGGGCAGCATTTCCCTCACAATGAAAAACAATTTGTCTTCAGTGAAGACAGATGTCAGAACAATAATTAGTATGTTTCAACTAGACAGGACCAATAATTCTTCAAAATCACCCCAGATACAACTGAAATCTGAATCAATCTCCTTAAGAGTTTGGATGAAGACAGATACAGTCCTTCATTTACAAACAGCTTCAGTGTCCATCCTCGGCATCCCATTCCTAAGGAAGGGGGCAGGATAGCCCAGCACCCCAGGCAAGATCTAGGGGTACCACCAACGTCCCAGGACTACTCCCCTGCTATTCCTTCTAGGAACTGACTGCCAGAGTTTTATTCTTAAAGGACTTAAGCAACTTAAAGCAAGTTGCATTCTTAAAGCAACTACTTGGCTGGATCAGGGAGAGACATCCTGCATTTGCAGAACACAGTAAGTTCATCAACAGGGGTCTGGGCAGAGCCCAAACTGCTGTCAGTTGGGTTGGGCTCTGTATTGGCAGTCCTGAAGTTGCTGATGGGGATGTGGAAGTGTGGCAGAAAAGGAGGATAAGGAGGGAAGCATCAGGGGGGCAGTGGTGGATGGCCAGTGGGAGCCCAGATTGCACTGACTGCACAGCACAGGTGAGCCTGAGCACACCTTTTGACCTGGGTTTGAGCTGTCTGCCTCATGAAGTCAAGTTCACACTGCAGGCTGTTTCCATATATTATTAAAGTCTCATCATCTTAGGCATACAACCCAGCTCATTTTTGTGCACCCACAGATTACAGCTGAAATTACCAGTGATCTTCTGTAGGAGATGTGGGTTACATGCAAAATAAGCACACATGGCATTGTTTTCAATACTTGTTAGTCATGTTCCAAAAGGCAAAACTTAGAGCTAATTTTAATTAACATATACAATGGAAAGTTTAGGTTACAGCAGTAAGCACTGAAAAGCTCTCAGTTCACTCAAATTAAATGTCACCATGATTTAATTTCACTGAAGTGAGTAACATCTTAACCCATACCTAAGTCTGAATATTTCTCCCAAGATTTATTTAGTATAACAATAGTAATTCTGAGTCCATGTTATCCATATAATTGCCTGCTGTGGTTTAACCCTGACCAGCAAGTAAGCTCCACACAGCTGCTCTCTCACTGCCTTACCCTGGGGGGACTGGAGAGAATCAGAAATGTGAGAAAGTGAGAAAACTCATGGGTTTTGATAAAGATATTTTAATTAATAAAGCAAAAGTTGTGTATTCAAGCAAAGCAAAACAGGGAATTAATTCACTACTTCCCATGGACTGGTGTTTCTTTGTCTCCAGGGCCCCATCCTGCATAACAGTGACTTGAAAAGACAAACACCATCACTCCAACATCTCCCTTTTTCTTCTTCTTCCTCCAGATTTATATGCTGAGCATTATGCCATATAGTATGGAATATCATAGAAACAGAGTCATAGAATTGTTTCAGTTGGAAAATAAGTCAAAGATCCTTGGGTCCATCAATTAACCCCTTCA